CCGATTAAATATTAAAATCAAATTCTGCGTTGCTGTCCGTTTTTCCATTTCGTATTCTTGATCTGAGCTTAGAATTGATATATGAAAAACAAATCCTTTTTTCGTTTTTGGTTTAACCATAAAAAACAGAAAACAAAATAACCAGTCAATTTTTTATTTTTTGTTTTTTGATTGACAATTGAAAATAGAACGAACGAATGATACACGGATTCCTAGTAAACTGACCAATGTCCCAGGCCCTAGAGCTGGCGGGCCAATAACAATGGTGAGATTTTTGGATGCAAAGCGGGCGGGGTTTTGAGGGCGTGATGACAAAGCTGCACGACGCTGGAGAAAGCACAACAAGGAACATGGCAACAACTATTGAACAGTTCTCATTTGAATTAGCTTTGGAATCAGTTTTGGAAGGCTGTTTGTTTACACTCCCCCACCAACTTTCTGTCACTTTCAGTTGCGTTCAATGGTCAGAGCGTTGGCCAATAGGCACAGACATGGTTTGAAAGACAACGGGTTGTTCTCAAAGTCAGTCTTCCAGTGTCTCATTCATCTGGGCCAGACTAAATTACACATTTAATCTCACATTTAGTCTGGTTTATCAGGCTATAGAAAACAGAAATTTTCACTTAAATTAGGTCTAAAATATGAAAATTTCCTAAATTATGAATACATATTGACCTAATAAGACATAGCATTTTAATTAAACCTAATTGAATGGAAATTTCACTTAATGCAGCTGTATTAATATATTTGAATCCCTTGTACTGTTTTTAGTTCATGCTTTTCTGTTCCCCCATGAAAACACGCTGGCCCCCCTCCTGGCCCCGTGATACATTTGGCCTAGAACCGCCACTGCTTGGGAGAGACTGGTTTATCCTTCCTCCGCGCAGTTTGAGCTCCAGCCCATCTGCTTGGTTGCTAGGAGACGCACAAAAGGCGCATTAATATGTACATTAGCCAGATTGTGATGCGGTCACAGGTTAGAATCTGTTTATAGGCTATAAAAACAGGATATTTTAGTTTTTGGTCCAAAGTAGACGATCTTTTTCTAGGAAAAATGGCTCCTAATAATGTTTAAAATTTAATCTGATGTTGTTGTTTTTTTAATAATGGTTAACTAATCAATGATAAACAGACATTTGAAAAAAAAGGGACTAACATTGATGTTATTTATAGGCTTAGATATTAAGCTGTAGAGGTAATATTTGACAGCACCCCCTCCCTCCCTCCCTGCCTGCCTCGCGCTCCACTCCCAGCATATCCGTTTTTATTCTGAGTCACCGTGTCGGTCGAACCGAACCGGAGCTATTTAACGCATTTCCTGCTTCTGTTTGCTTGAATAACCGATGACCCAGGTGGTTCAGAGGCGCGTGGACATGACAGGTGAGGCAAACTGTGTAGCATAACGTTTTCTATTACCCTATTACCTCTTACTCAAGGTTATATTGTCCATATTTGCTTTTATCTAAAAAAAAACATTAAAACAGAACTTATTACAGTGCTGGCTAAAACCAGCAGCGTGTCATGCAATTATTATTTTAATGAGTCTGAATTATTTCCAGTCATGTTTATTGTTTTAAATAGTCAGAATTTGACAAAAAGAAAGATAACCATGGAGCCTATGAATTACGTGTTTAATGATTGAATTAATTAATTAATTAATTAATTGACTTTATTGATCTCACAGTGGAGAAATTGTTCTTAAGTGTGTTTGTCTGTGCTGTCTGATGAACTGTTAATACTCCAGCTAGGCATAACATTATGACCACTGTCATGATCAGGATCCATTACCACTGATGGGGGTGGTAAGTATTAAACAGCAAGTGGACATTTTGTCATCCAAGGAAATTAATTTCATTTTCAAAACACTTTATTGATCTCAAAAGGAAAACAATACACTGGTTTCCTTAAAATCAAAGTCATATTTAAATGTCCAATCATTCTGGCTTAAACATGTATATAAATTTACACTTTATCAGACGATATATTTTCCCAAAAGTTAGAAAATTTCTATTCTAAAAAAAATCTTGTGTTAAAATCTGTGTTATTTTTTTTCTGCTATCTATTGCAGGCCAGTTAGTTATATGTCAGCTTGTACACCTAAATTCGGCCAATCATATATCAAAGGTCATCTGTCAATCAAATTTTTTCTGTCATAGCATCTTGATTCATATGAACCAAACCAAGCTTCTGCCGCCCTGACGTCCTCTTCCACAACATCTTCGTCCCCGCTTTCCTTCTCTAAATAAAAAATGTGTGACGGAGGAGACTCATCCACGACCTTCGACACTAAACTCTCCTCCTCTTGCATGTTTCCTCTGTCCATAGCGTTCCTTGACAGTGTCGTTTCTAAGTCACCAATTTAGTGCCACTTGGTCCCAATGGAATTTCCCATTGGGAACCTGCTAGCACTAAGTTGCTAACTGGTTAGCAAGATGCTTCTGAGACACCGGCCACAATCAAACTTGCTTGCAAACCTTCCGCCACAACAATCCCCCCCCCTTGGTTTACGACCAATCACATTCACTTTATTCACTCGTATAAAGTCGGGCACCACTCAGGAGAATTCAGAAATGCAACTGTTGGAACAGCCGCTTCCCTACGACTTTAATAGACTGGTTGTGGATATTTAGATGGTTTCCTGTAGTGGTTAGTATTCCAGCATGTCTGCGCATGCCTCTGACTGAAGGCACCTTGCTGCTGTATACCAAACAGCCAGTTGAAGGTGTTCAGGCCTGACTGTTATGTTCTTTATTTTCTGAAGGTCTCTTCATTTGCATATTTACCCTCCAGAGGTTCTAGATGATTCCCAGAGCAGAACCAGATTTATTAAACGGTTGTTCGGATCTTTTACCCTGATTGTTTTGTTTTTTTCTAGTCTGTTCTGTGGTCCAGGCAATCATCAAGGTGTTTAGACTCCTTCATCTCCTCAACTCGCTGATAATAGTTTGTGTTTGAACCTTTCTTGCTTTTCTTGTAACTCCAATCATCTCCTTTGTTTTGTGCAGTGGGGATTAGGTTTGTCCAAAATATTTACACTCAAAAAAGTATCAGTGTCAGGGTTTGGTTGAGGTGAGGACCCAAATGCAAGGAGGCAGAGCTGAGTTTTGTAGCTTTAATGTAGTAATTTCAGGTAACTGAGGCAGGAATCCAAAAATCCAGCATACTGTAATAAGTACACAAAAAAAAGAACCTCGGAGACAACAGGGGTCAACATACACAAGGAGCCAGGAAAATATTAGTAACTAGCACTGAGGAACGGCACAGGGAGAGTATATATGGGTGACTGAACAAAGACAGGACTAATGAGCTGATTAGGAACAGGTTTGAACAGAGGAGTCTAGAAAGGAGCTAGAGAAAAGGAGACTAACAGAAGAGGGCAACAGAGGGCAATCAAGAAATAGCTAAGAACTGAAATATACTCAGAAAACACAACAAAATAGGAATAAAACCAATAAAACTAGAAAACAAAGAAAAACATAGACCACGGTGAAACGGAACACTCAAAAGAAAACTTAACAGAACCAAAACCATGACTTTCATTTCTCAAACTCTCTCTCCAGATACAATCCTACATTTGCATTTTTTTTTCATATTTTTTCTTATTAGTTTTAAATTTATAGATTATTTAGATTTATTTATAGAGATTGCAAAGTGGGACTTTTTCATGCTGATAAAATATTTGTTATTTTATCCCAATTGTATCAGATATTGAATATTTCCTGGGTATTGATATTGAGTCTGAAATTTTAGTAATGTGAAAACTCTAATGGTGAACCATGGAGCTAAGGTCGAATGGTAATGTGTTTAGTAAAGGCTGACCTCTGTGGTTTGATCCAGCAGACCATCAACTGTAGTTAAACTTGCAGAAGATGATGCTTTTCCTGCTCTTCCATGGCGTACCATACAGAGTAGCTTGTATATTTATATCTTTAGACCTGTTGGCAGCATACAATGATTTTGAAAGGAGCTTTCTTCAGAAGGCTAAAGTGGCTGAAGCCTTAATGTGACCTTTTGAAGCTACAGAAATGAAAGAGTCTGCTGCTAATGCAATAAAAACAGCCTCAGGGATCTGCCAACTGGTTCAGAGGTGTAAAGCAAAGGGGATATTTGAATAATAGGCTTAATCTATAACTGGGAGGTATTTTATATAAAGCACCTTTCAGAGTTATAAGTCAGTTTATTGTTATGAAATCAAATCACACTATATGAGAGTAATTATTCAATTTTTATGCTGTTATGTAATTTTTGTCTTGCAGTTATTTAAAGCTGAACCAGGTTTGGGACTAAACTGAGATTTGCATATATTTGCATATCTGATGACTGTGCTGAGATACCTTTCTTTAGTGGTTGATGAGCGTGTCTCTATCTGTCGATGGATGCTCCCGGCTGATTCCACGTCAGGAGTTAGACAAGATTACAGGGAGGAGCTGGAGGATACGCTCCAAGGGTCGCCGAAGAGACAGCTCAGCCTGACACTTGACCTCAACCAGAACTGACTGACAGCATCTCTGTTTGCCTGGTGGATGTTATGTTATGTTATGGCTTCCTGTTCTTAGCTGTTTCTGCCTCCTGGCCGCTCTAACACGTCTTCCTCTCTAAATCACAGCTTTGGTTCCTCCTCCTGCATCGCTGCACAGCAGGAGGCACGGATCTCCTGCTCTGTCACCTTCCAGTCCTACAGGTTAACATCTCTTCCATGTATTCTTTCCTACATTTGACTCAGAGCTTGCTTCACGTAATTCATCTCATTGGAGTTATTTCATTAGGAGATTCTGATCATTTTCCAAGTATTTAAAATTAAGATTTTGAATACTTGGAGGTGAAATTAATAAATATGAATCTTTTTTACACATCTTTAGGCTCTCGGCTGAATTTATCTAAAGAACGACAAGAGGACGGAGAGAAAAAACAAGGTGTGTTCACTGCAAAAACAATCTA